CTTTTTTGATTTTATAACATACGTGCCACGGGCAAGGCCGGGTTATACCCGCTAGTAATACAATATAATAGTGATCACCAGGCTACCTGTGGCCACTGCAATCATTGTGGGAGCGTAGTATCAGTCTTGCATTAAGCGTATGATCAGCATTATGCTGGACGACATCCCTCGTTGCGAAATAGAGTAGGGCTTGCTAGGAATACTCACATATTTATCAATTTAATCTTAAACATACATATAGCTGACACAGCCGGCGCAGCAGAATATAATAAATAAACTTAACTCACTCCATAGCCATCGTGTGATTACTTGTCACTCTGATTATTAATCAACTAATCAAATAATCCCTAAGGGTCAGGCGATAACTTATATATTCTTGATCAATATCAATAGTCAATATATCCATATTCGTTTGTCTGTTTTATCCAAATAAATCTTCAGTCTTCCGAACTCTGTTGATGGCAGTATATCAGAATTTCAAGATCAAACCAGACATTTTTTAGTATCACTAATCTACTGACATATAGGTTAAGACAACAACATCGGTCTACTATATCATATTGCTGCCATTGGCATGATTGGCCGATAATTAATTTTTTGTACTAAAACTTTTTTGATTTTCACGATATCTTGGCCAAATCAGACATTTATTAAAGTTATACTATGCTCCTTAAATATAAGCCAACTCTTTTTAAGCCGTTCAACTATATCATATGTCTGCTTTAGGAACGGTAGGTTAAAAAGTAAGTTCATGCATTAATAACATTTTTTTTTTCACGATATACTAACCCAAAATGACATTTATAAGCCAAATCCAATCAACATCTTATATATAGCTCTATAAGAAAAACCGACCAATTAATCAAATGAATTAAGATATCTTCAGCAAACTCTTTGAAGGTATATATGAACATATTCTAAAATCTCTAGGTTTGAAAGCGATAAAAGTAGGTAACAGTTCAATTTCTAAATATTCGGACTCAACATTGATAATTATAATTGGTATTTGCTTATTATTATTAATCTATAACTATTTATTAAATTAAAATTGGAGTTATATACTAACCTCAAGATAATTTTCATCAATTTTACTCTCATCACCACTATTAATGGTACCATAATGTACAGATGCGTTGTCTAACTGGTGATTTTCTCTTTTCCCGAAAGAGGAAGAAAGCGCCCAAAGCGGAATTTCGGTAAAGCTGGTTATCGTAAATGTTACACAGGCGATGAAAATAAATGTAATAATAGTGAAGACTGCCTTGACATGTCCTCCTAAGCGTCTACCTGTACGTATTTTGTTAGTCTTATATGTTTGAAAATGAACAGAACTTACCAATTTCGGTTTCATCCCAGTTTAAGCCACCCATTGAATAACCAAAAAAGCCTCCAAGGCCAGCCATAATAGTGAATGTAGATAGCCCCTTGGCATGATCTGCTGGAATGCACACATCCAATAGGTAAGCCCTGGATGGACTTTGACAGGCATCCGCGTCAAAATCGAGTAGCACAGTACCTAGCACGGTGAAAAAAATTCCCCAAGGATGTGATGTCTTAGAATAGATTTCGCTGTCTGACTTCGACGCAGTCGTTTTATGAGGTATAATATTTAAATAATTATACGTTGTATTATACGTCGTATTCATTGCAACAGCCTGCAAATGTGGGTCTACATCACCGAACCAGTATCCTAAGTTTTCCCCGTTTGGCACCAATATCAACCCTACACGATTATTAAACATTAAAAAGTTGGATTAAAAAATTATATTTTTAAAGGTATTATTTTATAGTTGGAATTACCAAGAAAAACACCTATAGACAAAATAATTATAAACGGTCGCCGTCGTCCCATATTTAATTTGCAACGATCTGAAAATGACCCCAAAATAGGGCACAGGAAAAATCCGACTAGCGGTGAAAGAGCCCAAACTAATGTCATGTGCTGATGCTCCACGCCAATTTTAAGCAATGTTGGTGACACAAAAGCTGTTTCCGCGGCGTATGAAAACTCAATCCCCATAACTGCAGCGGATACTCGTACTAATTCCGCGCGGGTTTTGTATCTGCAATTGAAGATTAAAATCCATTTAATGAGTTTGGTCAGCGTGTATCAATCGTTATAAAATTTGTCCTTTTTAATAAATAACGAGAAGGAAGGGCTATCTTCGGCACGCCGAAGACCTTGCAGACCCAACCTTTTCATAATGCTCATAGTGCTTTGCCCGGATGTAAGAAGCACAGGGAAAATAGTAAACGACAGTTAATTAACCGAGTATGGTTAAGATGTCTTGAAAAAAAAAAAGTTTTCCATACAACAGCTATATGATATAGTTGTCCGATCTTAATAGAATTTTTCATATATATGAGAAGCATAGTAAAACTAATAAATGCCGAGATGGATCCAGATATCTTTACAAACAAAAATGTTTTTCATACAACTTAATTTTCGGCCGATCGTTCCTATAGCAGCTATATGATATAGTTGTCCGATCTTAATTGGATTATGCATATATACGGGGAGCATTGTAAAACTAATAAATGACGAGTTGGGTCAAGATATCTTGAAAAAAAAAATTTTTCCATCCAACAACTTAATTTTCGACCGATCGTTCCTATGGCAGCTATATGATATAGTGGTCCGATCTTAAAAGGATTCTGCATATATATGGGGAGCATAGTAAAACTAAAAAATGCCGAGTTTGGTCAAGATATCTTGAAAAAGGAAAAACATTTTTCTTACAACAACTTAATTTTCGACCGATCGTTCCTATGGCAGCTATATGATATAGTGGTCCGATCTTAATAGCACTTTGCATATATTTGAGGAGCATGGTACAACTAATAAATGCCGAGTTTGATCAAGATATCTTTATAAACAAAAATGTTTTTCATACAAGAACCTACTTTTCGACCGATCGTTCCTATAGCAGCTATATGATATAGTGGTCCGATCCAGATGGTTTTGACATATGAACTGCGTGCAACAGAAAAAGTTTCATAAAGATAACTTTTAAACTGAGAGACTAGTTCGCATAGAAACAGACAGACAGACAGACTGACATGGCTATATCGACTCGGTTGTTTATACTAATCAAGAATATACATACTTTATGGGGTCGGAGATGTTTCCTTCTATGAGTTTAACATTTCACGACAAAATTATAATACCCTCTGCAAGGGTATAATGAATTTTAGAAGGCATTTTATCGAAACATTTTATATAATCTATATATATATAACTGTTTGTCCTGACTGACTGACTTATTGGTGATCAACTCACAGCCCAAACCGTAAGAGCTAGGAAGCTAAAATTTTCACTGTAGTTATCTTATGTGATAAAGGTGCACGTTCAGACGGGGTTTCGAGAAATTCCACCCGCACGTATGCAAAAATCGCGAAAAACGATTGTATGCAACAATTTCAAAAATCTTTATCAAAATGTATCTGATGGGTGTTTCACAGATTTGGTGGCTGACGTTTCGCCTTCAAATTCATTTCCAAGGATCTACATAAAAAATCATTCAAGACGTGTTTCACATTTTTCGCAATATCTAAACTTCTTTGGTGGAAAGTTCATTTGGTGAAGTTTTAAGTTTTGTACGATTAGTTTCAAACTTATTTTCAAAGCTCTACATAAGAAAATAATAAATACGCGTTTCAGTGATTTGTGAAATTCCACCCGCAACTGTGGTAAATTAGCGGAAAACTTTAGTATTAAAGTTGTTTGATTACTATCCGAGTAGTTTCAAAATCATTTTCAAAGCTTTTTGAGAACATTTATTTTATAATACACGTGCCACGGGCAAGGCCGAGTTATACCCGCTGGTATATATATATATATTATACATAATTAGATGGTATGAATAAAGTGGATGTTGTTAATCGAACAGTTTAAGAACAAAAAATTATCAGTCCTTTCAAAAACGTATCTCGTCGCAGGATATTTGACTTTACAATAGATCTAACCAATTATTTCCTTTTTATTTTTATTTATAACGAGAAAGAAGTGCTATCTTCGGCACACCGAAGATTTAATACCCTTGCAGACCCAACCTTTTCAAAATGCTCATATTGCTTTGCACGTATCTAAGAAGCACAGGGAAAATAGTTAATGCCGAGTATGGTTAAGATATCTTGAAAAACAAAACAGGTTTCCATACAACAACTTAATTTTCGACCGATCGTTCCTATGGCAGCTATATGATATAGTAGCCCGATGTGAATACGATTTTGCATAAGTGGAAGTAAAACTAATAAATGCCGAGTTTGGTCAAGATATCTTGAAAAACAAAAAAAATTCCATACAACAGTATAATTTTCGACCGATCGTTCCTATGGCAGCTATATGATATAGTTGTCCGATCTTAATAGGATTTTGCATATATATGGGGAGCGTAGTAAAACTAATAAATACCGAGTTTGGTCAAGATATCTTGAAACACATAACAATTTTCCATACAAAAACTTAATTTTCGACCAATCTTTCCTATGGCAGCTATATGATATAGTTGTCCGATCTTAATAGGATTTTGCATATATATGGGGAGCGTAGAAAAACTAATAAATACCGAGTC